TGCGGCATTTTTAGTTTTAAATTCTCCGATGACCTTAGGTCCCTGCAATGTGTGTTGTGTAAGAACTGAAAACGTTCTTTGAGATAAGAGGGTGTGCGAGGATGAAACAGAACACTGTTTAAAAGAGAAAGAATATGAAGATTCCGGCGAAAGCGTATTGGTAGAAACTTGAGTTTAAAACGATACTCTGAGATGTGATCATATTTGCGTAATCCAAATATGAATCTAATACATAGGTTTTGGAGTCGCTCAAGTTTATTCAGTTGCTCTTCGGTGAGATCCAGATAGCTGACATCGCCATAGTCAAGGATAGGAAGAAGAAGAGATTGTGCGAGCGAAATTTTAGTATAGGTGGGAAGGAAGTTCCGTAGCCTTCGCAGAGATCCTGCCGCTGCAAATAGTTTTCGGCTAACTTCTCCAACCTGGGGGCCCTAGGATAGGTACCTATCCATGTGGATCCCCAAGTTTTTTACCTTTTCACTGTAAGGTACAACCGAGCCATTGCAACAAACAAATGGTATTTGCTGAAAGTTTATTTTACCTTGTAGCCTGGGACTACCTACAATAATCACCTGTGTTTTTGTGGGGTTTACGCTTAGGCCATACTCCCTACTCCAGTTACATATTTGCATTAAGTCTCTATTTATGGCATCCACTGCTTTTGTTAAAGCTTGTGAGTAGATTTGGAGATCATCTGCGTAAAGATGGTAGGAAGACAGTAATTGATTTGTGATTGAGTTAATAAAAACTGCGAAAAGTAAAGGTGATAACACGCCGCCCTGAGGTACGCCCGCAGATGTTGTGAGCCAAGAAGAATAAACGTTTTCAGTACAAACACGCTGCTGGCGACCGTACAGGTAACTACGAAACCAGTCAATTGCCGATGGAGATATGTTAAGAGAGCACAATGTACCCAGCAAGACATCAAAATCCACAGTGTTGAAGGCGTTGCTGAAGTCAAGTAAAGCAAAGACCGTTAGCTTTCCTTCGTCCATGCCTGACCTAACATCGTCCGTAATATGGACTAGAGCTGTTGTAGTGCTATGACCTGGACGGAAAGCTGACTGGAAAGGATTGAGGAGACAATTTCTTGAAAGAAATGAAGTTAACTGTGTGTGAATGAAACGCTCGAGGACTTTGGAAAGAAAAGGAAGGATAGATATGGGACGGTAATCTGAAAAGGAGGACGGATAACATTTCTTGGGGAGAGGAATAATTTGAGCCATTTTCCATGCAGAAGGAAAAACGTTGACGGATATGGAATAGTTGAGAATATGGCTAATTACAGGTAGGATCTCATCCAGGATAGGAAGAACCATTTTACGGCTGATACTGTCGCTTCCTACTGCAGTAGAAGTTATTGACATAATGCTCTTCCTTACATCACATGCAGCAAATTGACTAAAAAAGAATGGGGAACAGTCAGGAATCGGCAGAGAAGAAAGATAATTCAGCGTCGTAGTCTTGGTAGCCGCTCTGTAAACGGAGGCAGCAGAAAAATATGAATTCAGGGAATCAATATCAATATCTTTTGAAGCACAATTTGGACGTGACTTGCCGATTCCCAAGGACTTAAGAAACTTCCAGACCTTTACTGGGTCACCGTTTTCAACCGATTTGTGGATATGTCGGCGCTGAGCGTTCCTACACATCTTATTGCAGTGATTTCTAATAAGCACAAATTTGGCCCAGTTTGATGCTGTAGGGTGACTTTTATACTTCGATTGAGCTCTTACTTTCTTTCTCTGTATCTCCTTTATTTCGCCAATAAGCCAAGGTGCAGGGAGATGTTTTACCTTTATTTGTCGCATCGGCGCATGCTTGTCGTACAAGTACATTAAATTATTTGTAAAGATGTCTGTTTTTTCGTCAACACATTGGGAGTTAAAAAGTGGACTCCAGTCGATGTCGTCAGCATCTCTGCGAAGATTTTCGACATTCATATTTCGAAAATTACGGTGTGAGATTATTTTAGCTTTAGGTTTAGGAGTACGAATGATATAGGATAGAAAGAGAAGATCATGATAGGAAAACGAATCTGCGGAGCACTGGCCATGTTTAGCCACGTGCTCTACAGAGGATACAAGGATGAGGTCTAAGAGAGATGAATTACGGTTAGGCAAATTGTGTATAGGATTAAGTGAAAGAATCGAAAGATTGCTGGATTTAATAACAGATCGAAGGGTGGCAGAACTAGAATCGTTTTTCAATAAACAGGTGTTAAAGTCACCCATGACTATAGTATGACTGTACGAGGGGGTTAGGTTTTCTAACAGAACTTCAAGTGAAGAAAAATAGTCTACTCGTAAGGAGGGACTATAATATACACCGAGAAGTAGTTTTGTGTTTTGGAGTGAGATTTCAATGAATAAATGCTCGCCAGCATTTGTGGGGGGGGGCTGAGATGACATATTTACTATGGAGAAAGGAATGTGAGATCGGATATACATGGCAACTCCACCGCCACGTACACAAATACGATCATTCCTTACCAGCTGAAAACCTGGTAATGAGTACGATACCGTGGAGAGGCATGGCTTTAGCCACGATTCTGATACGAGAATTGCGTGGACATTCGTACAGTCGAAGGTTGTCAGCATTTCGGAGAAATGTGCCGGAATGCTTTGGGCATTTATATGAACGACATTGAAATTCCTTGGGACATCAGAGAATTGATTCGAGATAGTGTCTGCCAGTGAAGGAACACTAACGAAACTAGCATCGTCACTGGATACCGAAAAATATTCGTCAGTGTCACTATTAGTGACGTGTGACGTCATTAGTATATATTATATATATAAAGAACGAAAAGAAAGGTTTAATTTAAATAAGTTAATTAATATATAAATATTAAAAAAATAAAATAAAAATAAAATAAAAATAAAAAAATTCAAAAAAGTTGTATAAAATATTAATAAAATTCTCCAATTTATCCGTCTGCCGGCTGTATGTTTTTATAATAATAAACAGATTAATAAAAGAAAAGTTTGCTTAATGTAGCATCATAGAACTAATTCAAGATTGCGTCCAAATATTTTAAAACTGAAAATAAAAATAGAAATACTAGTTTAGAAATAAATAGGAAGTAGGTAATTATAATTCTAAAAGGCTGGTATCCAAATCATGTGAAATCTATTAAAGGATATGAACCGGAACGCAATCCTGTTGTCACAAATGACAGCTCAGTTTGACGTACCACAATATTCCTCTATGCTTGTGATCTTAACAATTACATATTTTAGTAAATTAATAGAAAATAGGGTATGCAATCAACCAATATATGACGTAGGTACAGTAAATATACAGTGTGAAGGTCCCTTCGGTTGAAGTGAATATTATGTGACAAACTAAGCATGCACACAATCGCAAACAGTTGGGTGACCAAAACAAATACAATACTATTATTTTTTAGCGGCACGCCTGGTCTTGCTCACTGTTGTTTTGGCAGCAGCTACTGACTTCACCACACCATCATCGATAGCGTCCAGTTCACCAAGTGTTGTTATGCGATGCCTTTTATCGCCAGGACCCGCAATGTGAATAATACCTTCTCGGGTCCAATATTTAGTTATGCCGAACCTCTGACGTGCAGACATGAAGAGATGATGTCTGGATTTAGTTAGGAACTCTGATATGGTTACCCCAGTGCCCTTCAAGTTCGTTTAAGCGAACCATACAGAATCTCTGGTAGCGACTTGTTGAAATTTTACAAGTATGGGCCTGGGCTTACTAGATGACGATGAAACCCGTCCCACCCTTTGACTCCTTTTAATGCTATTTGTAGTTAAACCGCTCACCTTACACTGTTCACTGAAGACCCTACCAGCCACCAATGCAATGTCTTCACTCTTCTCCTCGGGCACACCATGAAGCAGTAGCATCTTCCTCCTGCTGCGCATCTCCATGTTGTCTGCAGACTGAGCCAATATTTGTACCTGCTGTTGGATGTTATTCAGAGCTTCGAGGACAAACTTTTTGAAAGTTGCAAACTCTGTTGCAAGTTTGGCGGGTGATGCAGATGAGCTGGCTTCCTTTTGAAGCTTGTCACTTGATTCAAATTCTGCCATGCGAGTGTTAAACATAACATTCATGTCAGCGATGGTCTTCAGTAAGGACTCCATTGTATGTATTTGTATGGCAGATAATAAGCTAATGTGTGGAAATAACACTTTCACCGGCAGAAGGTAATCTCAGTTAGTGAAATAATTCATTAAATGTGTTTAATCAGCACTAAAAACAATTTTAATTATAATTTAAAATAGAGCTTAAAGTTTTTAATGTGTACCTGAGAACTACCCTCAGTTTTTTTTCTTTTTATTAAATATTTTAGTAAGTTATTACCTTAGTCGACGTTGGATTTATGTATTTCTACACCACCCGCCAGCAAAACATGGGAAGAAAGATCGACTATAAATAACTGTTATAAATTGAACAAAGTGTACCTTATTTAGGTAATTATAATTAGGCAGCTGAACCAGAGAAAGAACAAAAATAAAATCACAGGGCTCAGTTAAAAATTTATTTAAACAGTATAAAAACAAATATGTATATCACCGCAAATTTCACTTAAAACGAAATATTAAATCCCACATCATCTGTGAAAGTGTTATCCTAACATAAAATAACGTAAAAAGAAAAATCAAATCAACACATTTACAGTGACTAAAGAAATGATAAATATTCATTACTCCAGTATAAAGTGTAAACAATAACAATAACATAGTGCTATACAGTGATTAAATAATAATAATAATAATAATATATACAATTGAACGTTAAGAAAAATTCTCTTCAAATATTAGAGAACCTACCCTCTTCAAGCTGCGGTGTAAACAGCGAGGTTGAAGGTACGAAACCTATGATAAGAAATAATTTTTGAGAAGTTATATTGAATGTAACGGGAAACGACACACAATTAATATCGAGTCTAAAATAGAAAATTCTTTAAAAATATTTGTAACACTCAATTTACAAAGCCACTTTGCCCGCCATCTGCAACAATGTTGATGGTTGAAACAGAAAATGTTACGATTAGACGTGCGCGAGCGCACTCCGATACAAACCAAGATGATAGTGTCAACAGTCACACACTAGATGGCACCATGCATAGCGTTCCTGGTATATCGGAGGATGAAGATGTTGATATCATTAACGAACTAAGAGAACAGATTGACGGCCTTACTACTAAACTGCTGAGCGCCAATAACCAAATAGACTCTTTAATACTAGAAAATAAAGCCCTAAAAAAGATGACGATAATCTGACTCGCAAAAATTCTATTTATAAACAAATTGTGTACAGTCCAATTCAATCCCCATTCAAAACTCCAAAAAAATGTTCGAAGCAAACAAAAGAGGCTCGCAGTAACAAGCAAACCCAAACAGATTTTGTTATGTTGAATAAAAGTAATATTATTGAAAAAGGAGATCAATAAAACATTACAGTACAACATTCCAGTGCACAGACGGAGCTACCTGTCGGGACTGAAGAGGCAAGAATTACTAAAAGGCTGTCTTATTCACAGACTGTAGTCAAAAATAATCTCTGCATTATTAGTACAAATAAAAGCAATAATATATTAGCCTTAACAGAAGAATACTTCCTAGAAAACTACCTCATATGTCACTACTTAACACCAAAAGTTGGAATAAAGGCTCTCTTACAAGATATACAAACGAAACTGACAAACTTCACATTAAATGATTTTTGCATAATTATGGTTGGAGAAGAAGACTTCAGAAAAACACATAACTATTATGATATTGTAACCGATATTAGACATGTATTACAGGACATTAAAAATACAAACATTATAATTACATTATAATTACATTACAAACATTCAAATCTAATTACTATTATAACTACAATAATATGTTATATATGGACATTATCACCCATGAGCATGCTTATCTGTTAAACTCTAATTTGAATTTAAGCTACCACCATACTTTATATACACGCTCTGGATCCTTAAAGAATCATGGTATGAGGGTTGTATTTCGTGACCTGCATGACTTGATGTTGGCAATCGAACAAGAAAATGCAAACAATGTAAAAGAAAAGCTCTCAGGTGAGGTATTCCCGGAATTTAAATCGCTTTTTCGCCCCTAAATATCTAAATATTCTTCACCAAAATATAGCTGGGCTGCGGACAAAATCGCATATACTAACAGTCTGTTTACAGGAACTACTAGAAAAACAAAGAGATGTTGATGTTATTTGTCTCACCGAGCATTTTATGAAGTCTGGGTATGAGGAATCCTATCTGATTCCTAACTACAACTTGGTATCATGTTACTCAAGAAATAATGCAAGGAGAAGTGGGGTCTTGTATTTTTGTTAAAAAAGGGCAAAATTGCAAAGAAATATCAACACTGACAAGCTGTTCAGTCTCCATTGAGCTGACAGACTACAAAATTGTTATTGTCTGTGTCTATAGAGTACCCTTAGCTAGTAATTTAGATATTTTTTTTGATAAATTGAACAGGGTCCTAATTCTTCTTTGTAAGCACTATCATAAGCACAATATTGTCATAGCTGGAGATTTTAATATCAATATTTTGACTAAGAATAAGTTAGCAACCGAATTCGAATGTTCATTACTAAAATTGCAATTAAAAGAACATACCAGGCTTGTAAGCACGTAACATGTATTGACAATTTCACTCATAACTTTGGAAAAAAGTGTAAATCAGAGGTAATTGAGCTTGCATTATCTGACCACACCGCACAATTTTTAAGATGTCAAGTAAGAAATATATGTGTAATTAAGTACTGGAAAATCAGGCGACGGGATTTTATTATGGAGAATCGTCAAAATTTTCAATTTCAATTTCAATTTATTGCATTCCATAATGTACATTCAGGTGGTAGGCTTAAAAGTAGGTAACAATTATGGACCCTGTCGGGCACAGCACTATCAGGAGAGAGGAGGAGCTGCCTAATTATGCTAGTTTTAAGAGCTTCATTTCAATACCAACATTTTCTGCTTTAAACGAGATAAACTAATTAAACCAAATAGTATATTTAACTTGCATGTTCATAATAGGATGTAGTTGTTGATAATTTAATAAATTTATTAATGAACAATGTCAGTACAAAATTAGTTGACCATTTATTGTATATCAATTTATTGCATAGTCATTCATTATATATTAATATTTATTAAATGTAAATTTATTAGATTTTATGTCTATACTGGTATGTGTTTATAATGATTAATTTTAGTTATTTAAAGTTTATAATTTATCTTCTAAGTATTCCTTGACACTGTAGTAGCATTTACTTATTAGAAGTTTTTTTAATTTGTTAACAAAAGTATTGTATTTATTTTCGTTTTTGATTTCGTTTGGTAGCCTATTATATACTTTTACTGACATGACCAATGGTCCAGAGGAGTGAATTGCTAGTCTTGAAGTAGGAAGATTTAATCTACTTTTGTGTTTTAGGGTCATTTTGGATTAGATATCTTCGCGCTTGGTGTAGTGTTCCGGATATTTACGAACGAAGTTTACATAATTCCAAGATGTAGATGCATGGTACTGTTAGGATTTTGAGTTCTTGAAAGTGTGGTTTACATGTGTCAGTATTTTTTATATTGACCAAGACTCTAATCAATGCCTTTTGCTTAGTAAAAACAGCGGGGACGTCCGTACTATTGCCCCACAAAATTACGCCATAGTTGAGCCAAGAATGTGCGTAGGCGTAATAAGTGACAAGTGCAGTAGGTAGATCTGTTACTTTTTTGACTTCGCGTAGGGCGTATGTAAAGCTTGATATTTTTGCGCTCACCTTTTTTACGTGCGCTCTCCAGTTGATATGCGTGTCTATGGTTACCCCGAGTAAGTTAAACTCATTAACAACTTCTA